TTGTTTTTTTCATAGATATACGTACCTATATGCATCGATTTTTCCGTAGCTAATATAAATATTTATAGTTCATGTGGAAATTACGTTATTTATATAATAAAAATGTGATGTGCAGTAAAAACCTAAAATTTAAATTATTAAATGAAGTGAATCTTTTTTTTTTTTTTTTTGAATAGGGGGAAATGAGAGGGGGAAAGAAGGGAGCTGCACACTGCAATTTTAAACTCTGGGCGAAGCCATAAGTTTAAGTGCATCTAACCAAAGCAGCTGAAGCTGCGGATGCAAACAAAGTGAATCTTTTAACATTAAAATTTGTATTATATTTAATAATTCTATTTCACAATCAATGTAATTTTAATTGCATAACAAGCAATTCTTTATGTAAATAAATAAAGTTATTTTCTTCCACCAAATTTAGATTTGGAGTAATGGTTAGAAATTAAAACTTTTACTATTTCTTGATTCTGCCACCTTTTTCAATTATGATGACTACAATAAGGTGGTAAGATGATGGTGTTCTGCTCTGATGCTTTGAGTCTACCACAGCCTGAACCTATCAGCCCATAGAATAGTTTGATGGGTTTAACTATATGTTTTACATGGGCTTACTAGTTACTATAGAGCAAAAGCCTATGTGCTCTGTCCGACTGTCTGCATTCCCGTGGGCTTCGGCCTCAATTTTTCCTTTTCAAGGATGACAACACAACTACGTTCTTATTGGTATAATTCTGAAGTAGATGTCATCTCTTAGAAATCCCTGTTTAGTTTAGTTGTCAACCTTTTTCTAATCCAAATTTGAAAGAAACTTTCATATGTGCTTTTTTTATTTCTCTAAAACCAAGCGTGTTCTAAAATTAACATTTGATTTATATTCTTCTTAAACCAAGTATATTCTAAATTTAAAGGTTCAAGTAGCCAAATGCCGCCATTCACTACAACACTTCTTTTGGAAAAAATATAAGGGCAAAATCCCCTCTTAAGTCCCTAGACCTACTATCACGCCCCAGAACCCAAATCCAGGGGCGTGGCAGACGCCGTGCACTCGTGAGAGGATCCCACAAATGCACAAGGCTCGAAACTTACTGAGTTCATACTTAGCAATTCAGGTAATTCAGATCTAAGCCTTTTTAATTACCAAATCTTTACCAGTCAGATGTACAAGATTTATCATTTCATATATACAGTCATGACTAGCACTAAATTCTGTACACAAAATTTTCTATGTCAAGCATGGGTGACTAACGGCTTAGCTACAAAAACCTAAGTCCAAAAGTGCCTAGCCGTCTAGCTCGTCACTCCCCCGGGCTTCCCACGCGTCGGGTCTCACTACCTGAAATGGTGGACAAGGAAATCGTGAGATAAAATATCTCAGTAAGTAAACATGGGTGCCCGAAATCAAAATTTAAAGCATGCCAAATAATCGGTTAAAACATAAACAGAGCGTTTCAATAACAAACCATAAATGCAAGGTAAAATCACGTAGTGGTCTCCTCTATTAGTCATGGCCAGTGTTATAAACCTCCCACTGGCAGGCTACAGAAATTACTAGTGTATAATCCCCACTAGTAGGGCCACGAGCGAACCGATTCTATCACTAACATGTCGACATGTGCTAGCGTTTATAAACCTCCCACTAGCGGGCACACGATTATCACGACCATATTGGAGACAAATCCAAGCAAACTTTACAAACAAAACCGAAATTCACAATCGTTCTCACTTTCAAGAATAAATCAAAAGGATCTCATGTGGGCATGCTTAATTTTTAGAAAATAAGGAAAATGATAAAAGTTTAATTTCCCTTTTTAATCATGCTCAAATGCGAATAAATCCATTTAAACCTCGCCACCATCTCAGAAAACAGTTAAAATATGCTTCGAAAATTTAAGGGCATTACCACGATTTACTTACCTCACTCGCTTAAAACCAAAGGCTCGATCTCAGTGCTAAGTTGACAGAACGATCAGGAACCTAATTCAAAACATCCAAAATTAATACCCATATAAAACTACATACTTAATCCTTTTTCTATTGTTCCCGACCAATCCCAAAATGCAATATTTGTTACTTTTATTTTATTTATTTTCATTACCCAAATTGTGTATATATATATATTTATATACACATTCATATACAATTTATTCTACTCCCACGGACAGAACAAAATAGGGGAATAGGATTTTATTTCATTAAATCCTATTTAGCAAAACAATAGCAAATCACGGGATTTTTCTCCAAGAATCACAACAGCCCAAATCAACTAATCCTACATAAATTAAGCTAAAAACATGTCAAAAAGACTACCAAATTCATTCCACCTTCCAGCACAATTTCACCTAAATTTCTTCCATTTTCGGACAGCAAAAAGGGAAATTCAAAAGCAGAAAAATCCAATCAACACAAGGCAGCAATTACATGGATAATTTGGACTTGGGGGAGCTGTCAACTTACCCAAAATTTTCCAGCTGCAGAACCGGACCTGGCGGGGGAAAGAGGGCAGCGGCAAATCTGCAGGGGAGACTCACGGTGCTACCCAAAATTGAAGAACAAAGAAATTAAGTAGACCCAACCTAAATCAAAGTTAAAGAGAGGAATTCATGGCTGAATCTTACCAGAAAACCGAACCCAACCCCACACAGCAGAGGCCGGCGGACAGAGGGGAAGAAGACAGCGCAGATCTGGAAAATTTCTGGGTTTAGGAGAGTGTTCTAGGCCTGAAACTTGGTTTTTTGAGCAAGAAGGAAAGGGAAATTTCAAGCCTTTCATCGGTTCTCAAGGGGGAAGCTTCAGAGGCTTTGGGGGGAACTTTCGGGAGGCAGAGCATCGGGAAGAAGAAGAAGACGAGGAAGAGCAAAACACGTGGCTGAGGAGAGAAATATCAGCCTTGATCCTTATCCTAATTTCCTTTCTTTTAAGTCCTTGAACTTTGAAAATATTTGTTATTAAATTCATTAATAATATTTCTGCACAATTAGGTCCCTAGCTCACTTTAATGCTCTAGAAATTTTGGGGTATTACACTTACCCCAACTAACACATGAGCTTTTAAACTAAAAATAGTGTAAATAAGCCCTCAAACTCTTTGAATGATGTAAATTAGCTCTCAAACCTCTCAAAAGATACATATCAACCCTCAAACCTCTCAAATGATACAAATGGCCCAATGCATGTGACCTCATGCACTTTGTGCTTTTCCTTTTTTGGTTCCACATTTTCACGTGGGTTGACGTGGATCAAAGAAATTCTTAGACAGTAAAATCTTGCCAAAATGGCTCTTATGATCCCTTTTTTTTTTTATTTAGTATCCTTAAGCAACATGAATAATTTTAGTAACCTCAATGGGATGGTTCAATGGTTAAAAGTTTCAGATTTCAAGTTGATGATCTCAAGTTCCAACCTTGAGTCAGGTGGGAAGGGATTTAGAAAAAAGGGAGGACTATCCCCTCTTGTATAATCCATTCAGACATACTAAAAAAATACATGAATAATTTTGGTAGGATTTTTACCATATAAGGGGTCTTTTGATCGACGTGGAAAAGGGGATAAAATGAAAGAAAAGAATAGATAGCATTAGATCACATGCATTAGGCTGTTAACGATGAGGGTTGATTTACATCTTTCCAGGGGATTGAGGGCAAATTCATATCATTTGAGAGGTTTGCAGTTTATTTGCATTGTTTTTATAAGTTTAAGGGCTCAAGTGTTAATTTGAAATAACTCTAGGGGATTGAGATGGAGCTTCGCAAATATAAATGGCATTTTCTTCAAAGTGGTGGAACCATACTAAACACAAGATATTTCCGAAGATCATTGTTATTCATAATGCAGTGCCGTTGGCATCCACACAAAAGAAAGTTAGAATGTGCGGACGATTTGAAATGGAATCTCATCGGCATCCCATACAAAAAGAAGTACCAATATATTTCACGACCTAAAAAAAAAAAAAAAA